CGGGCCGCCGCCGCCTCCACCAGGCCATGGCCACACCGCCGGGTGACGAGGAGCGGGCTGAGGCGGAGGCCGGGCAACTCCCGCGAGCCGAAGGGCTCCGCTGCGAGGCCGCGGAGAAGCGCCGAGACACCAGCTCACACAGCGGAGCCCGGGAAGTGTGGGCGAGGCGAGGCGGAGGGCGGGACACTGGCACCCGCGCACCTGGCTGAGCCCTGGGGGCGGGGCAGGGGCGGGGCTTTGAGTGGCCCCGCCCCCAGGGCCTCTCCACTGCCCCTGAGTGGTGGCCGACCACTGAGCGCCGAAATGAGGACCGCGGGTTGCGGCGCGCGAGGTCTTACGCCACACTAGAGGCCGAGCTCGAGCTACAGGATCTCTAGCGCCCCCGAGCCTGGGGAAGTGACTGTCCAGGGTAAAGGGAAACTTCTCCAGCCGTAGACAGGCGTGGGAGCGCGATTGTGCAAAATCGATCAACGGATGTTTATGAAGATTTTGTTGTGTGGGGCACATGGAAAAACCTTACGTCCTGAAAATCATTTTAAAGACATTTTAAAAATGTAAAGCTGTGCACGTATCTCTCACATACGTGGCTACTAAGTTTTCAGTGCTAATGCTGATTCCTTATGGTTTCTCTTAAGTATTATATTCACAACTTGTTTTATAAGTATGATACTTTATAATCTCTAGTTTTTAAATGCATCAAGCTAGCTGCATAGCTAAACGCTTAAATGGTATAGCAGTAAAGAAAAAGAATAGGATATTTGTCTGGAAATAAATCCTGAATGACAGAATATCAAACTACTGCTACAGGAAAAGAAGTTGAGACACTACTTTCTGATAGACACAGCTTACTTCTCTGTATATGGATCTATACTTGTGTTATAAAGGAGACAGCAGACTCAAAATGAAGTCACTCATGTTATGTTCCACATGGTCAAGCAGAGATTTGATACCTGTTACTAAAGTAATTGCAGTTTCAACCCCTTACAGAAGTGAAAATTTAAACCAACCTTTCAGGAGTTTCCTGGTCAGCAGTTAGGTAATCTGCCTGATTGCCCCACCTAGCAATGTCTGAGAGTACCCTCCAATGTGGTGTGTTAGCCAAATTTTGGACGCCTGACAATCTGACCAGTAAATAAATTAAGAATGGTTTTATTTAGGTATGCATCCTTTCATTGCCATTTTATTTTTGCATAGAACTGGAGTGTAGGCTACAGGTGTGGGAGTGAGAAGTTTTACCTGAGACAGAGTGGGGAGCAGAACAGGAGGATCAACTGAAATACACTGCTGAGGTGAGCAGTGAGTGAGACAGGAGAGTACTGCTTTGCTATATGGGTCACCTTCCTGGCAGGCCAGGGACTGAGCTTGTGCTGTAGTGGCTGGCTATAGCTTCATAGTGCTGAGACTTAATCCCTTGCACCACCAGGGAGGCCCCCAATTTCCTTTTTAATCATGTAGGTTAGCTCCTTGGTGGGGAATAGAACTCAGGCCTTACAGGTAATAGCCCTGAACCTTAACCTCTAGGCCACTAGGAAGGACCTTTTATTGCCTTTTGTTAACACTGATCCCCCAACTCCTTTTAATTTAATTATTACTGGAACCAGATAAAGGATTTTTAAAAATAGCAAAATGGAAAAGCTGTCAAGTTATGTTGATAGTAGTTAAATCGGTGACTCTCAACTGAAAAGTCAATTAAAAACAAAACACAGAATCTCTAAGGGTCCTCCTCCCTTAGAAATTCACATAATTGGTCTGGTAGCATCAGGTTTAGTTTTTAAGAGGATTACAGGTGTGGCCAATATATGCCAGGGTAGAGCTACTACCTAAAACAATAACTGAAGTGCTAGGTCTCACTCTGGGCCAATTAAACAGATTTCTAGTGGTGGACCTGTGCATCTCCAGTTTATGCAGAGTCCACTAGATGATGGTTTTGTGTACTCTGTCCTAGTAGGAAGGTAGGTGGAGAATGGGTCAACTCTTTTCTGAGCCCAAAATGTCATTGGAGGGGACATTGCTTCCTTGCAAGCACATCTGGCCCAGGAGAACTGCTCAGAGTCGGTTACGGGTTCTCCAAGTGTGATCTTGGAGCTGTATTACTAGTACCACCTGAGCATTTTTTTTTTTTTTTAAAGATTTATTTATTTATTCATACAGAACTGGGGTACAGGCCAGAGGCTCAGGGGTGGTGAGAGGCTTCACCAGAGACAGAGTGGGGAGCAGAACAGGCAGATCTACGAGGGCGGGCCAGGAGAGGTCTGGCTCGCCATGTGGTCTCCTCCGGGGCAGGCGGCAGGCGGGAATCGAACTCATGCGGAAGTGGCTTCAGATTCTCAGTGCTGTGCTTTAACCCGCTGTGCCACCAGGGAGGGCCACCACCTGAGCATTTTTAGAAAGGCAAATTCTTGGGCCCCACACCAGCCTTATTGACTCTTAAATAGGGAAGAGGATGAAGGGGGAGGATCCAGGAGACTGAACTTTGGCAGGGCCTCCAGGTAATTCTGCCACACAGTCACATTTGAGACCCATTGTTTTAATCTCATAAGATAATTCCTCCTGGCCCCTAGATTCTGACCTGCCTCTAGAAAAGTTGTAACTGTAGAATTATGCTTACATATGACTTACTTTGGGAGAGCCCTCACGTTAGTTGTAATATATTATTATTTCAGCTTTCAAGATAGTAATTAAGAATCACACTTACTGTGTAATATACCAAATTTTATTTTATTTACATGAGAAAATCTGCCATTATAGCCTTCTCTTCTTTTTCCTGTGTTGCATAGGTCTACTCAATAATGCCGTGCAAATTCAGCACTGCCTATTCATGTGATTGAAGAGTTCTTTCATAGTGTGCAAAAAATCCTTTATCAAGAGATGTCTTTATGAGGCTGTTATATGACTGTATCAATCATAAATCCAGTTAAAGAATTTTGTATTCTTTGAAATGGCCCATTGTC